GCACAGAGACCATTTGGAAAATGGATGTTGAGTATTATTGTCTAGAATATATGTATATATTTTTGTATTGCCTTACTTTCACATTGCTGTTGCTCTCCTTTGTCTGTGGAGCATTTTTTAAACGATCTAATTGAATTTTTTGAAAGTGAATGTTACAAAGGGAAACACTGGAGGTGATGAAGTCACGTGAAGAGCAGAGGTATTCCAAAACTAGAAGACCACATGGGTTTAAAAATATGCCACAGTTTTTGTTAATTATACACACAACTTTTGTTTATGTTTTTTTCTGCTATTAAACTGTTAGTAATCGGATGAGAGTAATATTTTTTTAAGCAAAGTAAATATATGTGGATAGAAACGTACTGAGATGTTTTTAGTTTTTACTGAATTTAAAAAAAAAAAGATGTCCATAAGATGAAGCTAATCATTATTTGTTCCCAGTATAAATATCCAGGCTCGTCATCTGTGTAGCTGTTCTGTTTTGTGGAAGTTGAAGCCTTGACCCAAATGTGATGTTAGCTTAAGGGTTTGGTACGATATCTATAATTTAACGATATGCTGCTCTTGAGGTAAAAATGCTAACGTTTGGGCTTAAAGGAGTGAGGACAGAAATGGTTTCACTGAGTTTTTACTGTAGGAAAGAGCTTTTCAGGCTGACAGAGGTAGCTGATGGTGTTTTCCTTGTAAAACTCACTGTAACTTTGGTGAAACGATTGCTTGTCGACATGTATCACACAGTCGATCATCCAGTTAGTTCCTTTTATACGTTTGTGCTGATTTTTTATTTCTCTGAAAGAGATTTTCTCTTATTTTACTGTTATACAGTTTCATAGTGTTGATCTGTTAAAACAAAACACAATAAAAACATGGACTTGATTACACAAGGACCCTTGTACATTTATTATTAAAGGATTTCTACAGTTAATACTAATCGAGAGGTAATAATCATGAACCAGTGTTGCCATTTTTTTCCAACATCGGTGCATACATAGTTCTCAGTTATCTATTAGTTAGTAGAACTTTCATATTATAGATTATGTTATTGTCTACAATAAAAATAGTAGCAGTAGCATCTATACAGAAAATCAAATGCCTCTGTGCATGAAGTGATTAGTGCTGTAGCACAGGACGTATTCCTTATTGTTAAACAATGAGCTCAGCTCATTACCTTATACATCACAGGACCAACTAACATGCTTATTTATCCCATTTTAGAGCATAATGCTAAACATTAACTGAAACGTTACCCCCAAGATGTAGCCTGTAAATACCGTAAGAGTATGTGTCACACCATTTATCTACGTATATGTATCTCTGCTGCATAAACACACAGTCGTATATATGCGTTCATCTGTGTGGCTAAAGCTGAATTTCTTAAGGAAGTGTCTCCACATTGACGTATGTGAGGACGACGTCGTGCAAGATGTTGATTCTGTCGATCTGGTTGAGCTCTCTGATGCGGTGACGGAACTCAAACAGGGGGATGTTGTTCACTGCCACCCTGAACGTCTCAGGCGTGCACAGGATCTTCATCTGCAAGAGAACACACCACCAGTGACATCCTTACATTGAGACTATGACATCTGATGTGTACAGCTAAGAAAGTTCTTCACCAGGTATTACTATATATTTAAAAAAAAAATTATTCTCACTGATTATAATTTCCAAGAAATAACTTTGACTGATATGACAGTAAGTTCAACATCTTTTATCCCTACTATGCTATTGCAGTGATTAAACCCTTATTTAATATCACTAAAATGTCAAGAAATAAATACATTACACTCACTGGACACTTCATTAGGCACACTTCAACAAATATATTTAGCCAGCCAGATCACATGGCAGTGTCTCAGTGCATTTAGGCGTGTAGACATGGTCAAGACGACCTGCTTAAGTTAATCCAAGCATCAGAGTGAGAAAGAAAGGCGGTTTAAGTGACTGAATGCGTATGGTTGTTGGTGCCAGAAGAGCTAGTCTGAGTATTTACAAACTGCTGATCTATTAGGATTTTCCCCACACAAGCTTGAGCTGCATTTTTCTCAGTGAAAATGTCTTGCTGATGCCAGACGTCAGAGGAGAATGGCCAGACTGCTTCGAGCTGATAGGAAGGCAATAAGCACTCATTACAACTAAAGTATGGAGAAGAGCTTCTCTGACTGCACAACACATTGAAGCTTCATGCAGATGGGCTACAGCAGCAGAAGACCACACTGGATAACACTCCGGTCAGCTAAGACCAGAATAATGAGGCTACAATTTGCACAAGGTCATCAATATTACACAACGGCTGTATCCCAATTCAGGGTCTGCAGCCTTAAAGGCCGCATTTTAAGGCCGATTACGTCACAGCGACGCGACGAAGGCTGTCCCAATTCGAAGGCTGCTCGAAATGCGGCCCTCAAATGCGTCCTTCATTTCCATGAATTTCAAGGACGTGGCGGTGTAGACTTCGTGGCCCAACATATCCCAGACTGCATAGCGCGGCGGTGGATAATTTTGCCGAAAAAAACAGCAGATGAGGGGCGCCGGAAGAGTAAACTTTAAGTACTGAATATTATGTCACTTATTTATGTGCAAATGTTTAATAATGAAGAACATGAAAACATTACTGTTGGCCACATGTCGGCAAAGTTATGTGACATTAGTGACGTTTGTACTAACTTGGTTTTAAAGCCTTTACTTTAAAATAAAGCTGACCTTAATCTTACAGAGAATGATCAGAGCTCATGTAGAAACAACCAAACAAATGAACAAAATATGTTCTCCTTCATTTCTGTCAAACAAAGCTGTATGAAACGTTTCCAGCTGTTAGTATCATGGTTGCTAGGCAACCTGGGCAGCGCAACGGAGGCTAGACCGTCTCATTTCACAAGCCTCGCACTTCCGGCCTTAGCGGTCTTTAAGTACGCGGCCCTTGAGGATCGTTGAGGCTGCGTACTTTAAGGCTGCAGACCCTGAATTGGGATACAGCCAATAAAAGGTTGGGCTGATGAGTCTCAATTACTGCTGTGGCATTCAGATGTGAGCATCCTACCAGAATCTGGTGTAAACAACATGAAAACATGGATCCATCCTTCCTTGCATCAACTGTTCAGGCTGAGGGTGGTGTAATGGTGATGGGGATATTTTATTTACACCACCAGAGCATCATTTAAACACCACCTGAGTTTTGTTACTGTTATCTTCTACTCATCTTCTAATGGCTGGTTTCTGCTGGATAACCCATCATGTCACAAAACTCAGATCATGTCACAAAAATGTACTCAAATAGCCTCTACAGTCACCAAATCGGAGTCCAATAGAGCATGTTTGTGATGTTGTGTTCATAGTTGCATCATAGATGTTCAGCCAACAAATCTTCAGCAGCAGTTTGATGCTGTTGTGTCAACATGGACCAACATCTCTGAGGAATGTTTCCAGCACCTTCTTGTATTAGTTGCCACGAAGACCCTAACCCTAGCCAAAAGGCGTGTAACAAGATACTAGCAAGGTGTAACTAATGAAGTGTCCAGTTAGAATATGTCACCTCTCATTAATTAAATTAATGTCAAGTTGAAAAGTGCAGTGTTATTTCCACTTATGCTCATTGTAAAACAAATACTTTAGAGAAAACTCATCAAAAATGCAGGCCCAGGAGGAGGAGCAGCAAAAGTGAATTCTGATGCGATCACTGATTTCAAGTTAAAAAAAAAATCAGCGATCACTGAAAATTAATTGAGCACACAATTATTAATTAGCCTAATTGCAAAAACATGGTTATAGAATGACCCGTGAGTGCCACAGATTTCACAGCTTTTGACCTCCTGGCTCCTTTTATCTGCATCTGTCTCATGGCTGTGATACCCGTGATAACTGTTTTTAATTTTACAAGAACAAAAAATCAGACTTACTGTTTAACAGAAGTAAAGTCAAATTGGTCTTTTCAACACAAAGTATTACAATTTGACATGTAAGTGATACTGCACAGATCAAAGCTCACTTCTGCTGTATGTACTGTATAGTACACATTATGATGTCACCAAATCAGTTATTAGAAGAAGTAGCAGTAACGAGTGCCTGTTAACACATTGTGTTATTGATGTGAGTGAACACAAACCCAGGACCGTTGGACACAAAGACAGAATCAGCTCCACAGATTAGTCTCCTCTTTACGATGCCTGTTAAACATAAGTGTTATTGATGTTAGTGAGCAACATGAGACCCCCACTGACCTCCAGGAGCCTCCCTGCAGCATAGCAGCTCCCTTATCTAGGACCCGCCTGCACAAACGACTTTCCAACCCTTTCCATTTTTTCGAGGCCTAACGTTTCCCATGAGAAAGTGACCTAGAGTCAGTTAAACGCACAAGGATCAGCAGTAAAACTCATTTTATTGCACGTTAGTAGTTTTAGTTTAGTTTCATCTAATTAGTTATTAGTTTTTAAAAGTATTAATAATGTAAGAATTGTTTTAAACTTCTGAGAATTGAGATTAATGATTTAAAACGTGATCTTCAGTTTGTTTTGTGCTCTGAAGCGATCCAATGATTAATACAACACAATATAGCCTCTCGTGGTGCTTCAGCCCACTGCCCTGATCTAATTTCGGTCTCTGTCACTCACCTCAAAAGGGCTCCCAAGCGCAAAAGGGAAGGGACCCTTCAGGTCTCTCTCTTCGGCACCCCAGCGTTCACCCAGCTTGTGGTTGCGGACAAGCACCTGCTTGGCCGCCTCGTTGAAGCGGGGGTTGATGTGAAAGGCGATGTCGTTGCCTCTCAGGAAGTTCACTGTGAACCTGCGGGAGACCAGACGGATTCAGACTAAAGAAAACATGCTCTCAAGAACCTAATGCAACATGAAATCCACCTTGTTTTTCAAAGACACTGAGGGCACACAGACGCAGGCTTACATTTTAGCGTTAGGTTTCACATAGCCCAAGATCGTCATCATCATTTTGTCATACACCCCTCGGGCCAGGTTCAAGTTGTATGGCACGCTCTAAACAGCAAAGAGAGAGGAGCAC